GCTGATCTCGAGGCTCCTTCTCAGCCCGGACCGGCTGTGCCAACCGCAGCCCCGCGGATGCTGAGCTCCTCCTCCTCCTCCTGCACCTGCTCACGAGGAGCCCCAGTCCTGATCCTCGGGCTTCAGATTCCGGCCTGGCTCCGCGTCGCCTCCAGCCCCGGCGCCGCTGGCTCGGATGCTGCCCCCGCCGCCGAGAAGCCGGCGCTGGAGAGTATGATGGAGATGCGGAGGGAGATGCAGGAGGAGACGCTGCTCCACCCTCCTCCTTTCCTCCCTCCCTCTCTCTCTCTCTCTCTTTGGCGGTCCTGCGCGCGCAGCCCCGGGCGCCCACCCGCTCTCCGGAGGCTCCTCCTCCCCCCTATCCGGGCGAGCCCCTTCCTCTCAGTCCTGCTCCCGACACGTGTTTGCACTGGCACATGGGAACGTGCACTGACCCACCAACCCAGCCCCTTCCTAGACCTGGGTCAGGGGTGGAACTGAGGAGACTCAGCACTGGAACACAGGCGAGCCTGGCCTTTGCAGAATCCCCTCCCTCTCCCCCCCCCGGCTGGTGGCTTATGGGATCTGTAGTCCAAAACTGGAACTTGGCTCGCCCATCGGCATCTCTCCCCCTCTATCCATCCCCCTCATCCCGTCTGTGGGTCTGAACAAATTAGGTTGCTCTCTGGTGGAACCCAGGTTCTCCTGACCATGTGCAGAGTGCCTTCCTAGTCATCACATCCGTACCCCATCAGGATGATGATACCCGAAGGGAACCTCATATCTTGGGAGGTCATTGAGCCCTCTCGCAGTCGAGGCAGGATGATGGGGGGGGCTAAAGCTTGGCCCGCTTCAGTAAGGGGTTGGGCTGGATGCCCTTTGCGGTAGTCCACGCTCCCCACTGCAGACCTCTGAGGAGAAGGCCCGGCCTTCGAGACCCCTGCCTCCACCCACCCCTTCTCTTCATCATCTTCCTCCTGCAACCCCTCCTGCTGTAGCTGAACTCCCATCGGGCCTAATCCTGCCCTCTGGGCCAGCGGAGAAGAAGCCGGAGGGACCGTTTGTGGGTGTTGGAACCACGGCCCCGAAAACCCGCCTTTCGGGTCTGGTCTCCTAGGTCACGCGGTCAGTCCCCCTCGGTTCCCCTTTACTGGATAGCCTGTTTGGTCATTTCTTTAGATCACCTGAAAAGGAGCTGCCTTCCAAACGTTAGAAAGCTCTTGTCTCGGGTGGGGGGGAGACAGCATCTCTTCCCCCGAAGGGGCTTCAAAGGAGCTTCGAGGGCCCGCTGGTCTGGCGTGGTTTAGCTGTGCATTTCCTGGGTCAGAAAGGGGTTGAGCTGGATGACCTTTGGGGTCCCTCTCAGTTCTGCGATTTTGTGATTTGCAAAATGAAAAAAATTCTACGAAACTGAAGCTCATCCCCTGACCTGGGACCATCCCTGTCTCCCACCTACCTCACAGGGCCGTTGTGAGGATACTCCATAGGGGTGGAGCATCGAGGGGAATTAAAATGCAATGCATTTACAGCACAGTACTTCCTTATTTTGTTACAGGTAGGTCCTGTTATACGATCAATCCTTCTTTCTCCAGCCTTGTCCGAGACCCAGAAATAAAGCTTGCTTCAAAATACAGGAACACAAACTTGTCACGCTTTCTTCGGGAACAAGAAAATCAGTTCCTCTGAAAGCTGATGTTTCTAAGACGGTTTATTTATAGACACTGTGTTCTAAGAGCCTTTTCTGTTTTTATCTCTTGCCTCTTACCAGCAACACAGGGCAGGGATTTTACAAAATAAATAAACACTTTTTTAAAGAGGGCCTGGTAAATTGTCCGCCATTCCCTGTCAGGAAAAATGAATGATGTTTGACCCATTTTCTTTCGGGGGGGGGGGTACAAATAGGTAAGCATGTTGGATCATGAGCAAAGTGTACGCAATTAATGGCACACAGGGTGTGGAAAAAGGAGATAAGACAGACTCTTTCAATTCCTTCATAACATGCTGAAACTTTGGCATCATCCAAAGACATGAAATGATGCTGAGACTGAGGGAACATGAATGGTTCATTTCATTCCCTCGGGGCATTTATACCTTGGACTTTCCTCACCCAAGAAGTGGGAGTCTGTGGATGCCAACGGTTGAAGCTTGAAAGGAGGATTAGACACACCTGTTTCTATATACAAGTGGTGCCGCGCTTTACTATTGTCCCGCATTACGATGAAACCGCTTAACGACGATCTTTTTGTGATCGCAATTGCAATCGCAAAACGATGGTCTGAATGGGGGAATTTCGCTTTGCGATGATCAGTTCCCTGCTTCGGGAACCGATTCTTTGCAAAATGACGTTTTTTGAACAGCTGATCGGTTTTATTCTGGTTTAGTCGTTAAGTCATGTCCAACTCTTCGTGACCCCATGGACCAGAGCACATCAGGCCCTCCTGTCTTCCACTGCCTCCCGGAGTTGGGTCAAATTCATGTTGGTCGCTTCGGTGACCCTGTCCAGCCATCTCATCCTCTGACGTCCCCTTCTCCTCTTGCCTTCACACTTCCCCAACATCAGGGTCTTTTCCAGGGAGTCTTCTCTTCTCATGAGATGGCCAAAGTATTGGAGCCTCAGCTTCAGGATCTGTCCTTCCAGTGAGCACTCAGGGTTGATTTCCTTCAGAATGGAAGTTAGGTATCAGCAACTCTTGAGGAAACTTCTCTCTCTCTCATTTTCTCCCTTGTTCCTCCAGAGCTCTGGAAGTGTTCATTAATACAATTTCATGGCCTCTCTGAGATAATTTATCACCTTTTTTTTTACAGCTCAGGAAAACGTGGCATGATTTTATTTGTGACCCAGACTTGCGAAGGAAAGAGAGAGGCTGTTCTGCCTGCAGGCTTCTGCCCACCAACATCCCTTTGACTTCACAGCATGAGAGAATGGGAAGGTCCATTCAGGGGCCATCTGGTCCAACCGCCTGCACAACACAAGAAGCCCAGGGAAACAGCATCTTTGACCGGCTGCTGCCCAGCCACTGCTTGAAAGAGTAGACCTTTGGTCTAGATGGGCGGGGTAGAAATCCAATAAAATAAAATGAAATAAAATAAAATAAATAAATAAAGGTTCCAACCAGAGAGAACCCCTTTTCCAAACCGAGGTCAATGTTTCCATAGCCACATTCAGCTTATCCTCCAAATGTTTCATCGAGATTTGGATCAAAATGAGTGCCTGACCACCTTATCTGTCTCCTGAGATATCTATCTGTGGGACAGGAAGCAACAGTTAGAACTGGATATGGAACAACTGATTGGTTCAAAATAGGGAAAGCAGTACGACAAGGCTGTATATTGTCTCCCTGCTTATTTAACTTATACTGTATGCAGAATACATATTGCGAAAGGCAGAACTGGATTAATTCCAAAACCGGAATTAAGACTGCCAGAAGAAATGTCAATAAACCTCAGATATGCAGATGATGCCACTCTGATGTCAGAAAGTGAGGAGGAATTAAAGAACTTCTTAGGGAGGGTGAAAGAGGAGAGCACAAAAAATGGTCTGAAGCTCAACATCCAAAAAACTTAGATCATGGCCACTGGTCCCATCACCTCCTAGCAAATAGAAGGGGAAGATATGGAGGCAGTGACGGATTTTACTTTCTTGGGCTCCATGATCACTACAAATGGTGACAACAGCCATGAAATTAAAGGACGCCTGCTTCTTGGGAGGAAAGCGATGACAAACCTAGGTAGCATCTTAAAAGGCAGAGACATCACCTTGCCGATAAAAGTCCGCATAGTCAAAGCTATGGTTTTTACAGTAGTAATGTATGGAAGTGAGAGCTGGACCATAAAGAAGGCTGACCTCTGAAGAATTGATGCTTTTGAATTGTGGTGCTGGAGGAGACTCTTGAAAGTCCCCTGGATTGCAAGGAGAACAAACCTATCCATTTTGAAGGAATTCAACACTGAGTGCTCACTGGAAGGACAGATCCTGAAGCTGAGGCTCCAATACTTTGGCCATCTCATGAGAAGAGAAGACTCCCTGGAAAAGACCCTGATGTTGGGAAAGTGTGAAGGCAAGAGGAGAAGGGGACGACAGAGGACGAGATGGTTGGACAGAGTCCTTGAAGCTACCAACATGAATTTGACCCAACTCTGGGAGGCAGTGGAAGACAGGAGGGCCTGGTGGGCTCTGGTCCAAGGGGTCACGAAGAGTTGGACACAACTAAACGACGAAACCACAACAATGTGTGTGTGTGTGTCTGTCTGTCTGTGTCTCTGTGTGTGACTGTTCAGGGAGGTAGTCCCACGCCTGCTATCTATGTACGTACGTACAGTGCTTATTAATTAATTATCAACACCAGGCCATGAGGGAGAGGAGAATCTAATCAGGGCTCCATCCTGGTGGTAACATGCAGATGTTTGTCCTGGGGAGGGGGGGACGCGCACACAGAAGACTAGCGTTCCCTTCCTCTGCCTGAAAAGCCATGCTCAACGGACGATATCTGCTGAGGCTTCAAGCCCATCTCCTTGGCATCCAGTCCTCCGACATCTTTGAACCATCCTCTGGCCACACATCTTTCTTCTCTTCCCAAAGACTTGACCCTGTTCGCTTGCCTTTGCCATCAGGCAGTGGGCCCTGGACCAGGAGGGGGTGGGCGACGTGGCCCCCAGGGGGATACAGGTAGCCCACTACTGCCGGGTGGTGGAGAGATGGGAGGGATTTTAAAGACGAGATCC